GACACATCTTTGTCCTAAGGTCAACGTTTAACCCTCAACCTAGCAAGGGTACCCCTTTTTTCTGTAGTCTATTTTAGTAGGGGAACCCTCCCCCGAAAAAAGGGTAAAAGGGTAGTATATAAGTATTGTCTACCACCATCATGTCCATCATTTTGGTCAAGGACAAAGAGGTAAGATGGCAACAAGCGTTGACCCAGTTGTTTGTTGAGTTCAAAAGGGAAGACAGGGAACCAGCCGAGGGAAGGAATCTCAAGAAATAAGTGCACTCTGTTTGCTAGTAAGCGGGAAACCATGTGTGCGCTTCAAAAAGCAAAAGGATTAATCAAATGATTGGGTAGAAGCTGCTGCATATCTTCTTGTTGACTTTAAAGTCAAACCAGAGCAGCTGGTGATACAATGGGTTCTTTCAAAGTCTGCTCTTATTATATATCATGTGTAACCCCCACGGGAAAAAGTGTTGCAACCCTGGCGTTAAGCCACGAAAGGGGAAGTCTTGCCCTGATGATGACTGTTCCTCACTGGTTTTGCCACGGGGCGGCGTAGGTTTGAGAGTTCCCCCTTTGCGAGCCTGTCATGAAACCCAAGAAGCAAAATCACCATGCTTGGAGACAACTATCCTTCTTCTTCTTCTTCTTCTTCTTCTTCTTCTTCTTGTCTTCTTTGTCTTCTTTTTCTGCTTTTTCTTCTCCTCCTCCTGCTGCTCCTCCTCCTCCTTTCTCTTGGGGGAAGAGAACCAGCAAACCTCAACTGGAGCTCCACCCCTTCAACGTCAGCGCCAACTGGCTGAGGGGCGACTCGTTCGGCTCGCCGCTTCCAGCTCAAAGAAAGCTTCCTGCAGGGGGACGGTGGAGATGGTGAGTTTGTAGTAGTGTTAGAGCAAATAAGACTACTTTAGTAGGGCTTAGGCTTCCCTTCAACACAAGTTGCATTTCTTCTGCTTCTCCAACGATATGGATAGGAACAAAAATACTTCTCTCTGCCTCTTGCGAGTTGGCGCCGTCTCTCCAACGTTGCCAGCTCACCTCACGAAATGATGAAACCCCAAGAGGGGTTTCCGATCTTGGCGCCCTCAGGTGCCAAGCTCGGAGGAAGTGTACCCACTGCTTTGTGGTTTTAAAAGGAGAGCCAAAAGGAAAACCACGGCCCCCCCCCCTCCCAAAAAAAAGAAAGAAAGAAGGAAACACTAGGTGTTGTTTGGACACCTGAAACTGATCATATGGCAAGCACATGACATGACATAGAAGGAAGGTGTTGGATACAATTCGCAACGACCCCCTAGCTCGCTTCATTGGTCGCAGGTTGTTCTCTCGAACAGCCAAAATGGCTGGCGATAGTTTGGTTTCTTTGCTTTCCTCTGGAAAACCCAACCACAAACCCCACGTAGAGGATCCAAGCAGGTTGAATTAAGGTCATGACCCCGGAAATTGAGATCCTGAGGGATAACCCAGGTTCTACATTGAAATGTTCTTTCCAAACCAGGGGACTTTTAGTGAAGGTCCTAGCCACCAACACGGTCGTACAGGTCCATGTGTAACCCGATCAAGCCAGGCAACTAGAAGCCACCTACGGCCACTGGGGAAAACTGGACTCAGTTGGGCAAGGTGCAAGGACCCCGGTCGCCGATACGGTTCAATGGGTGGGGGTACTCAGTTGTTCAGTGACCCTGGAAAAAAAAAGGCAACCCTTTTTAGGGAAGACCATTTTTAGTGGGGGAGTCATCACAAAAAAAGGGGGAAAAAGGGTGCCACTGAACAACTGAGGGTACTTCTAATTGCTCCAAACAGCTCGTCAGGTGGCCAGAGAACCCAAGACAAGCCAACCCGAAGCCACCTAAGCTTTCCCCCTCAACCCGGAGCCACCCCTGAACCAAACCGAAACCAGCGTTCTTCCGCCAATGCTAAACCAATTCAATCTGGGTGAATTATAATATGTCACCAGCCTGAGATAAGGCGGTTGGAGGGATATTCCCCACATAAAGCACCATTTGGGGTGAGGTCGTGTGAGGTCGTTGTAATTCACCCAGATTCGATGGAATAAGGGTACCTTTTTTCCGTAGTCTATTTTCCTAGGGGAACCCTCCCAACCAAAAAAAAGTAAAAGAAAGGCCACCTAGCTGGGGGACCTTGTCACACCATCCACTTCATGCGTCCTCCGGCGACTTCTAAGTCGTCCTTCCCAAAAAAACAAGTAAGATGAGCGCGTCACATGGGTGTGGGTCAAAAAAAACACAAAAACTAAGGTTACGCAGGTTTTAGTCTTTGGTTCCATTTACAAAGGCGCCATTTTGTCCCAAAATCGAAACCTGGTAAATGGAAACATGGACTAAAACCTGCGGTCCAATTCCTGGTGGCTTCATTTTGACCCATACCCACATCCGTGAATCTGGATCCAGCCAATTTTTTGAAAAGATCCTCAAAAGATCGGTGGGGAAAGCAAAATCCAGCCGCGGGTTCTGTTCACTCATCCAGTCGTGGGCAAAATGGTGCGACCCTTCAGGGATCCTTACAGTATACACCTGAACGTTGCCTTGTAAATGGTGGTGTCCCTCTATGTTGGTGTTGAAAAAGCAACATGTTTCAACTGGTTGCAAGATGGAGATCTTTTACTTCAGCCCTGGGGAAGTTCTCATCTTTTACAGACATCTAGCCCATGTTACCCCCAAAAAGTTAAGAGAAGCTTTGTGTTTTTAAGAGGTAAGTTTAAGGAGCCCTGGCCTTCAGGGCTCCCTGCCCTTCAGGGGAAAACCACCGATTTGCCCCGGAGGCCGAGGTTGGAAAACCCCTCTCAAAGGACTCAAAGGACTCAAAGATCGCGAGGCCAGGTGGAAGAAACCGACGCTTGCCTCACGAGGCGAATGCCCCAAACGACACCCGAAAATGGGAGGGGGTTCCCCAAGTAAGGGTTGTTTGGATTGGTGGTTTGGTGGTTAAGGAGGGGGTTCCCCTAACTCAGGGTTGTTTGGATTGGTGGTTTGGTGGTCAACCCCTCCAAAAGTGGGTACCAAAAGAAAGGAGGCCTGGTACCTTCCCCATTTGGTCCCCCTTTTGGCTTTTGGGGGGGGGGAACTTCTAACATGTCGGGATATGTCGGGATTGCACAGGCCGCACCTGGGCAAAGGCCGGCAGCCACAACAGAAGGCAGCATCGCTGCAGATTCATCGCGCTCGAGCCCATTCTCCCGTGGGTCCAATGGATACTGCCCGCTTGCGGAGTCCGGCTGACATGTCTTCCCAATGTCAAGGTCACAATGGGTGAGTCGCATGATTAAAGGTCAAGGATGGTCTGAGTCTGAGTCTATTTCCCTTGCTTGCTGTTGATCTCTCTGCAGACAAAAAGTTTAGGCTTTTTGTGGGTCCAATGGAGAATCCACGACTTTCCAAAATGTGAAATTGTCTAAAGATCCAGGCAAATAGCCATAAAGTGCACCTTCCGCGCTTCGCGACTTGCTTGTCACCCGGTGCCCTCAAAGCCTGGGGTGGGCTTGTGTGCCGAAACGGACGGATTTGCGGCGAAACAATCAAGTCCAACAAGACCCCGTGACTCCACAAGAGGAAAGATCACCCGCTGAAAAAGTTTGACGCTTAGTGGGCAAATATAACTATGGCTCAAAAAACGGTACCAAAATGGAACCCTGGTAAATGGAAACATGGACCAAAACCTGCGTAACCCCCCTGTTTAACTTTGAGCCACACCCATATTGGAAATCATGGCGAAACCAACAACTACAACTAGAAACTTCAGGAACCGGATGGCTGGTTTCAGCAAGCCACCTTCGCCGTGTTTCTTTTTTTTTGTAAAACGAGATCTTAGAGATGGGAATGGTCAAGCATGTCCGCCAGCCGGACAAAAAAAGGAAGAAAAAAAAAGAAGGACACACTCGATCGTTCAAGCTTGACCAGACTTAGACTTGGCTGAAAGACAACATGTTGAAAGCCCCAAAAGGCGAAAAGTTCAAACAGATAGGCTAAGTCTGGCAATGAGTGGATTGGTCAGAATGAGCCCCACCGTTTGCTAAGTCCTCTGCAGGCCGAGTCCAGGAACTCAGAAAGTGAGAAAATGACCTTCCAGTACTTCTATTTGCGTTTCGCTTTCCAGTAATGATCGACTCCTTTTAAAACCAACAGCGGAAAGAACAAATATCCTATAGTCCACCGGAGGAGATTGCTGTCTAGCCCATGGGGCCCAGAGCAAACCAAACAAACACGGCCTGAGGTGAGGATCTCTGCTTCTTCTGGCCCGTGCAAATCCATCCCAAAAATTCGCCAAGAGGGGACTCCCACCAAAAAATTCGCCCAAAGCAAGGCCTTTCCGGTGTGAGAGGCATCCAGCCGGTGTGGGGAGCAGTTTTTGGAGAACCCCTGCAGAGCCAAGGAAGTTGAGACATGACATGACCTCTAGACCTAGCACTAAACGCCAAATCTCTCGGATCACGAAAAGTCGGGATTTATATGCCTGTGGGTCAAAAATGGTGCAAAAAATGGCACCCTGGTAAATGGAAACAATGACTAAAACCTGTGGTCCCCTGGTGGTGTAATTTTGACCCATACCCATATATGGGCCTGTCAGTCTTGTTTTATTTAAGATTCTTTGAGTGCCTTCAAAGGAAAACCAGGGAAAAGCCACGATTTGGGGAGGGGGGTGCTGTATTGAGACACACCCCCAAAACTTGCAGAGGTCTAGGTTGCCAACTTGTATTTGCCCAGAACCTGCGCGTCAACATGTCCATTCGCAAACCCAAAATACCCGAAGGTGATGCTCACACCGAGAGGAAAAGGTATGTCCCACTTTTCTAGGCTGGAATTAGAACCCCAGCAAAAACATATTTTCTTGCCTGGTTAGTGGAAAACAAAGGGAACCCCAAAAAGCAAAAAAGCAAAAAGAGGAGCTAATTCTCGGGAAGTTTTGGAGAAACCGCGCAGGAGCCCTGAAGCACTGCTAGAGACACTTCAGGCCTTGGCGCCTGCCACTCCGACCAGAACACCAGAAATCCGGGCCCCGAACGCGGGCTTGACACGCTCCTGGCAAGCGAAACATTTCCCACTCCGATGCGCCAAGGGTGCCGCCCTGAGAAACACCTGGAACGCTTCCAGTGACCAGTTCGGTGCTCAACCTGCAAAAAAACAACCTTCGGCCCAAACATGAATTCCAGTCTTGACCATTCCCCATGTTCAGCATTCATCTTCTCAACCAAAGGGGGCAGCCGAACAAACTACAAGCACATGGAGAGTTGTATCACCACAGAGGGGAACCCTGCAAAGGGTGCAGTTCCTTCACGTGGTCTATTTTACTAAGGGAACCCTGCCAACCAAAAAAGGGGTAAAAGAAAGGGCACCGTTCGCAGGGGGACCTAGACATCACTGGCGTACCGTCCAAAAGAAGACGAGCCACTCAAAACCGGCGGCCGCTGATCCTTCAGGCCCGGGCGAGTGAAGGGCAAGATGAATATATGTCCAGTGATAAAAAGGCCTTGAACAGGGAAACTCAAAACCAATCCGCAAATGGAAGCTTCACTGGTGTTGTCATGGCAACTTCCTCTTGGAACCAGGCCCCCTTGGGGCAAGCCAGGCGATACCCGTGGTTCACTCTTTGTAACATGCCGCAGCCTGCGATGCCCATGTCCTATTGACCGTATACCTCCTTTTGCGTTTTCGCCCCCTGAAAAAAACAACAGTATTGATAGATTCACTTTAAAACCAACAGGGGAAATAAGAAATATCCTTCACCAAATGGAAGTATAGACTGCATGGTTTCATCCAACTTGACCGAATTGAACCGCGCGAATTCGAAGAACGAAGCGACAAAAGCCGCCGGCGGCGCTTCCAGGTCTTTCGTCTCCTGGCCGAAAACCCGGGAGTTCGGGCGAAAAACCGAAAAGGACAGGGCTTCTTTGTGGTGTCCACTTTTCGCGGCTGCGGTCTCTTGCGGGGTGGGAGTCAATCCGTGCCCGCGAGAGGTCAACTATTTGAAATAGCACACAAAAGAACATCCGACCCACGGACGGTATATTTTGCTTGCAAACATACTAACGGGAGCGTCTTAAAACGGGGGATGTTGGTTTTCGCTTTGGTTTCCCTTCTAACCAACCCCTAAAAGGCTCCCTCAAAGAAGCACACACATTTTGGTAGTAAACAGTCGGTTTTGACTTTCTCTCACGGCAAGCCCACATGCAAAACGCTGCTTTTCACAGAAAAATACCATGTCGGCAAGCGATCTGCTTCCAAAGGTCGAATCTGGTCGAGGAAAAAACTATTGAAAGATAATGTCGTCCGGGGGAAAAAGCGACAACTTCCCTGCTCGATTCTCCCATCACAGCAACTGAGTAGTCAAAACCTGGTGTTGAAGGGGCCTACTTTCCGAATCCAACGGGCTTGCATCCCCCTTGCAGTATTGCCCATGAAGGGAAAATTGCGCCATACATGGAATTCCGGGGTCACCCCCTCCCCCAATTCCATATTGAAGGGTGTCTTCATCCAGCCAGGTGTTTCTGTAGTTCAGCGGCCGGCACTCATATAATGGGTCTGTGTTCGTGGCCTCCCTTCAAACCGACCTGAAAAGGCTACCCTCAAAAACGAATATTCCTGCTAGGAGGTTGGAATAAGGCTACCCTTTTTTTTTCTGCAGCCTATGTTAGTAGGAGAACCGAATCTCCCAACCAAAAAAGGGGTCCAAGCTGAAAATCGGGGGACCTCACTTGCTGAGTGGATGGCCAAAAAAAAGTCCAAACTCTATATTCACCACTAAAATGGTCCAAACCCAAAAAGTTTAAAGTTCATGAACCCAGGAAGTGAGTCGGAACGACCTCGCCCGTTTCCAGGCTGCTCCACACCTGCCGTAGCTTTTTTATCATTCACCGTCGCGCCGCCTTCTTGGAGTGCGACTTGGACACCGCCTGCTCTTTGGGAGGCTTCTTCTCTTGCTCCTCGGCGAAAAAAAAGATATGGCGCACGGGTCAAAAATGGGTACCCAAAAGGCGAAACTAGAGAGGGCGAAGGGGTCAAACATGGGCTAACCCCAAAATAGAACCCAGGTAACTCGGCTGGCAAAATCGGACCCCGGCAAAAAAATGAGACCTTTTTTGCTTGGTTAGTGGAAAACAACGGGAACCCCAAAAAAGCAAAAATAAAAAAAGGGAGCTAAGTCTGGGGAAGGTAAATGGAACCAAGGACTAAACTCTGCGGCCCCCTGGTGGTTTAATTTTGACCCACTCCCATGGTCAATTCTCCTCATATGGCCGATTGGCTCATGGCTCCCTGTATGAGTCAAAGGTCTACCAAAACCTATGAGAATCAAAAGGCTTCTGGCGGAGCCTATGCCCCTGACCCTCTACCCGAATTTGGACTGTTGCAAAAGGACATGGGACATTTAGGTCCTGCACGTGATTTTTTTTTGCGGGAAACCCACCCCGCACGTCCTCCTCAAAATGACAATAGATTACCAAGCCATTTTGTCAGCTGCTCATTTGGATTCTCGCATGGACTGTAGAAGATTCCCTCGTTGGGATTGAAACAAAACGTCAACGCTCGACAAACATCCCCCCTTCCCCCCACACAACCCCCAGGAAAAAAAAGGAAAAACAAAAAAACTTGAAAAAAGGGGGAGCCAAAAAATAACACACACCCACACCCACACACCCACCCACACCCACACACCCACACACCCACCCACACACACACCCACACACACCCACCCACCCACCCACCCACACCCACCCACACACCCACACACCCACACCCACCCACCCACCCACACACACCCACCCACACACCCACACACCCACCCACCCACCCACACACACCCACCCACCCACCCACACCCACCCACACCCACCCACACACCCACCCACACCCACACACCCACACACCCACCCACACACCCACCCACACACACCCACCCACCCACCCACACCCACCCACACCCACCCACACACCCACACCCACACCCACACACCCACACACCCACCCACACACCCACACACCCACACACCCACCCACACACCCACACACCCACACGCACCCCAAACACACCCCAACACACACCAAGTGGAAGCAAGGAACAAGAAAAGGAAGAAAGAAACAGCAAGGGAAAGCAAGAAAAAAGGCAAGAAACAAGAAACAAAGAAACAGCAAGGAAGAAAGGCAAAGAACAACAAGGAACTACAAGGAAGAAAGGCAAGAAACAACAAGAAACAACAAAGAAACAGCAAGAAAGAAAGGCAAAGAACAACAAGGAACTACAAGGAAGAAAGGCAAGAAACAACAAGAAACAACAAAGAAACAGCAAGGAAGAAAGGCAAAGAACAACAAGGAACTACAAGGAAGAAAGGCAAGAAACAGCAAGAAACTACAAGGGAGAAAGGCAAGGAACAGCAAGGAAAACCAAGAGAAAGAGTGGAAAGTGCAAGGTAGAGGGTGCAACCGTCTCTACAAGTTTTGCAAATGTGTGCAAGCTGTATGCTGCCCAAGTGTTCGATCATTTCTGAAGCTCTACAAGAAAATGCTCCACACTTTGCAAGGATTTTTTGCATTTTTTGTCTTTTTTACAATTTAAAGTGCTTGGAAACTGCTTTCAGGCAAGGGCTCACCTCCCAAAATTCGGCCAAATTGGGCCAAAAAAAAATTTTTTGCCCACAAAAAAATGGTGACTTCTTCCAAATGCTGGAAGCCTTCTGCGGGCCCAAAACAGCCTAGAATCAAGGTTTCAAGGCCCAAAATGCTCCCATATATGCCCTGAGGTGGGACCCAAGCTGACCAGTGCGTTTGCATGAACTGGTGCAGCCTATAAATGACCAAGCAAAGAAAGCGCCTTGCCCCCCCATGGGCCAGAGGCCACTCCCAAGTCAAGAAGGGCTGCATCAGCCTCAAGACAATGGGCAGAAGACGGGGGACAAACAAGGCCCCAAGGTAGTCCTGAACGACCCACCTTCTCCCTGCAGGAACCAACACATGATTCCTGCCCTGAGGCCGCAAAAAAAGCTGCCTTCCAATCTCCAGTGGATCCCCATTCCCTTGGAGATTGGGGATCCAGAAGTACCGAACATTGCGCAGAGGCCAGAGGCCAATCCCAGCCAACTGCGCAATCACCCCTGCACTGGGCCGGTCACCTGCCCTCAGTCGCTCCTGGCACAGGGGGGTTCAGTCTGTGTGTGTGTTGTTTGTTGGTGTAGTCAGTCCTGCAGCAACAGGTGGTCCACGTGGAGGTGGTTGAGGATGGCGTGGACCACCCTGGCCTCAGTCAGAACAGCATATGGCCCTCTCTCTGTCAGTGGCTTGCTTCATTGCGCAGCCAAAATCTCAGGCTGGCACAAAGGTCCAGAGCACAATGCGCGCCACGCCAGCCCTCCCCTGGCCGGCCCCCCCGCGGGCTCGTGCCCCCACGGGGTAAGCCCGGCCAGGCGCACCAGCTCTCTTAGGGGCCATTGCAGCGCAGTGGTGGTGGTGGTGGTGCTGCTGTGTTGGTGGTGGTGGTGGTGGTGGTGGTGGAGGGTGCTGCTGCAGTTGCTGCTGCTGTGTTTATTGCTGTGTTTACAGTTAAGGCTTTGTTTACAGTTTACTGCTATGCTTACAGTCAACAGCTTTGTCTACAGTTTGTTGCTATGTCTACAGTTAACAGCTTGGTCTACAGTTTACTGCTGGGTTTACAGTTAACAGCTTTGTTTACAGTTTATTGCTATGCTTACAGTTAACAACTTTGTCTACAGTCTATTGCTATGTCTACAGTTAACAGCTTGGTCTACAGTTTATTGCTATGCTTACAGTTAACAGCTTTGTCTACAGTTTATTGCTATGTCTAGAGTTAACAGCTTGGTCTACAGTTTACTGCTGGGTTTACAGTTAACAGCGTTGTTTACAGTTTATTGCTATGCTTACAGTTAACAGCTTTGTTAACCGTTTACTGCTATGCTTACAGTTAACAGCTTTGTCTACAGTCTATTGCTATGTCTACAGTTAACAGCTTGGTCTACAGTTTATTGCTATGGTTACAGTTAACAGCTTTGTCTACAGTTTACTGCTATGTCTACAGTTAACAGCTTGCTCTACAGTTTAGTGCTATGTCTACAGTTAGCGGCTTTGTCTACAGTTTATTGCTATGTGTACAGTTAACAGCTTTGTCTACAGTTCACTGCTATGCTTACAGTTGACAGCTCTGTGTACAGTGTATTGCTATGTCTACAGTCAGCGGCTTTGTGTACAGCCCATTGCTATGTGTACAGGCCACAGCTTTGTCTACAGTTAGTTGCTATGTTTACAGTTAACGGCTCTCCTCACAGTCTTCTGCTGTGTTGACAGTTAACGGCCTTGTTGACAGCTTCTTGCTGCGCTTACAGCTAACTGCTTTGTCTACAGTTAGTTGCTTTGTCTACAGCTAACCGCTTTTTCTACAGCTTAGTGCTATGTTTACAGTTCGGTGTGGGTGTGTGCAGGTAGTGCGTGTGTGTGTGTGTTGTAGTGCCCAACCTAGCCGTTGGCGGAATGGGACCCTCACCGTTTGGCTCACTGTTACGTGTTGATTGAGCCATACATTGCAGTCAGAGGGCACGTTGCAGCAATGGCCTCAAGTAGCTTCTGCTCCAACAAGAGTCCACTCTCCACCAGAAGCCTCAGATAGCTTCTGCTCCACTCAAACCTCAAAAGAGTCCACGCACGTCACGTGGGATATTTGGGCGCAATCTTTCTTTTTGGGGAGGGATGATCTTAAGTAAAAAAGTCAAACAGGTAGATTAAAACATTAAAACCCTGCCTTCACTCCAATCCCCTGACTGCCAGACCAGGTTGGTTGTTAGGAATTGGGGCGGTTGAAGGGAACCAGGGAATCCCAGGAACGGTTTGGTTGACCTGTGCCAGCAGTCAGGTGCATGGGGGAACAAAAACCAGGAGGGGGTTTTTTTCATGACACTCCACCCCCTGTTGTGTTGGCTACCCCTTTCTGTTGGTTACCCCTTTTAGGGAGTGGAGTGTCCTCTGAAAATGACCCCCTTTTTTTGGGATAGTAGTAGTAGTAGTAGTAGTAGTAGTAGTAGTAGTAGTAGTAGTAGTAGTAGTAGTAGTAGTAGTAGTAGTAGTAGTAGTAGTAGTAGAACAACAACAACAACCACCAACAACAACAACGGCAGCAACAGCAGCAGCAACAACAATAACCACAACAACAGCAGCAACAACAACAACAACCAACAACAACAGTACCCGCGCCGTTTGGCTCGAGGGTAGGGTGGGTGAGAGAGAAAGAGAGAAAAAGAAGGGGAGGAGGAGGAAAAAGAAGGGGAGGAGGAGGATGCCTCCGCTGGAGGCATCCTCCTCCGCGTGGGTGAAGGCCTACAAGGCGGTGGCGCACCCCAGTGTGGGGCAGAAAGAAAGGCGCTCCCAGGAGGCCTTAAAAGAGGTCCGCCGCAGACAACAGAAAGAAAGGCGGGCCATGAAGGCCATGAAGGCCATGAAGAAGCTGAGCATGACAACAGCAGCAAAAAAAAAAGGGCACAGAGGAAAAAAGTGCCTAAAATGAAAAGGCCTGCCAGCCGCATCGCGCAGCAGCGCGCGCGATGGGGCTGGGGAAACCGCAGCACCCAATGGCTGCGGGGGGTGGCAAAAAAACTGAAAAACTGAGGGGGGGTGGGGGGAAAAGAAGGGGGGAGAAAAAAACAAACAAACAAACAACAAACAAACAAACAAACAAACAAACAGACAAACACCTCCCCAACAAACAGACACCCTACAACAGCAACAGCAGCAGCAGCAACAGCAACAGCAACAGCAACAGAACAGGACGAGCCACACACCACAGCACAGCACAGCACCGCACGCACAGCCACACACCACAGCACAGCACAGCACCGCACAGCCACAAACGCACCACGCGCAGCACAGCCATGGCTCATGGGGCCATGGGCGCCGCAGGAGGAGGACTGGGGTGGGGGGGGGGAGGGGGGGGGGGAGGTGGCTGGTGGTTTGTTTCAGGAAACCTTGGGCCCCAAACATGAAGAGGGGAAAAAACAACACACACACACACACACACACAAAAAAAAATGAAAAAAGCGGGACAAAAAAAAAACATGAAGAGGGGAAAAAAACAACATACACACACACACACCAAAAAAAAAACGGCCACCGCCCTAAAAGCACACGGCCCGCCGCCCTACAAAACCGTCCGAGCCGAACCGGGCCTCCGTCTCCACGGAGCGGTCCAGGATCTGGCCACACGCCACCACGCGGCTCCGGGGGCGAGGCCTCCTGCGAGCGAGCGAGCGAGGGCCATGTCCGTTCCGTGAATATATATATATATATATATATATATCTATAATGTTGTTTCTTTTTGTTGACCCCCTATTCATCAACCCCCACTTCGGAGCCAGATCCCTTTCAGGCAGTGTGATTATTTTGCTTGTCTTCCATTTGCTGACGGGGTTTCGCCCCTGGAAAAATGAGCAAATATATAAAATATATCCGGTAGTGACCGATTCCTGTTAAAACCAACAGGGGAAATACAATATATTCTCAAACAAATGGAAGTTTCGGGGAGGGGTCATGGCCCAGAATGCATCCCCATTGAGAGACGCTTTTTCCCCAAACAGTGTGTCTACACTAAGGGGTCTTACGGCAAGAGAAAAGGCCTTGGTGCCAGATTGAGGTGCCCGCTCTGGCCGCGAGCGTTTTGCGTGGTATTTACCGCAGATTTGTGCTCTTGCTTGATGTCGAAGTGCGTTTTGACTTCGCAGGCTCGCACAAAGTGAGTTGGCGACTTCTGGCCGCGAGCGTTGTGCGTGGTGTTTACCGCAGATTCGTGCTCTTGCTTGATGTCGAAGTGCGTTTTGACTGCGCAGGCTCGCACAAAGTGAGTTGGCGACTTCTGTCCGCGAGCGTTTGGCGTGGTATTTACCGCAGATTCGTGCTTTTGCTTGATGTTGAAATGCGTTTCGATTGGGCTCGCACGAAGTGAGTTGGCGACTTCTGTCCGCGAGCGTTTCGCGTGGTATTTACCGCAGATTCTTGGTCTTGCTTGATGTTGAAGTGCGTTTCGACTGCGCAGGCTCGCACAAACTCGATTTTTTTGCTTTTTTGGCGGCTCCGGGGACCGTGGGGGTTTTGTCTCGTGGTCCGGCGGCACGGGTTTCCGGCGAAAGGTCCGGGGCTCGATTCCCGCCCTGTCCGCGCGAGCTTGTTTCCCTTTCTTTGGGCATGCTTGTGTGCTGCGACGGCGTCTCGATGGTACCACCCAAAAACAGCAACAGCAACAGCAACAGCAACAGCGCCACAATCGAGAACAAAGGAAGAAGCTACCTAGCTAGCTAACTCACTAACTCAGGCACTCTGGTGAAACAAACACATCTTGCCTTTTGTAGTGATGCTTACACACACACACACACGCACACACGCACACACACACACACACACACACACACACACACACACACACACGCACAAACACACGCACACACGACCATGGCGCTGGCTTCGACACGTGTCTGCTGCATTCTCTTGCGCGTGTCTGTTCCAGGCCGTGTCCTTGTCTTTGTGAATGTGCGCGCAAATACCGCAAAATTATGCTTCCTGACAACAACCGCCGTTTTGCGGCGCAGACCGCACAATACTCTGCAGCGTGTGACCGCCGCCTATCACTGTTTGGGGTCTCGTGCCGGGGTAATTACTTGAACGTGGCAGGGATTTCTTCAACATGGCCAGAAGCCGCATCCCCAGACCTTCTTTTTTAGAGGCGTAAAAGGGAAACCCTTCTTTGGTTGAGCTTACAAGGAAGCTTCGCTCAGGAAGGGTGGTAGTTGCTATATTGTTGCATCTTTCGTCTGGGGGGTTTGTTGTAAGGGTGGTTGGGTTTGGTTTAAAGGCAAACCAAAGAGACAACCACCAAGTTGGGGTCCCCAAACAAGACCCACCTCAGCTTTGCTGAAGAAGGGTCCTGGACTGTTTTGGTGGTCCAAAGAGAAAACCCCATGAGCTTTGAATTCTAATCATGTGGGTTGATTTGGTGGTTTTGGATTTGTTTGGCATTTCCTATCAACCCTCTACAAAAGCCAGGGGTTCAAATCCCCGAAACTATATCTGAATTTCGACTCAGAAGCCCCTTGCCCTACCAGAAAAAAGGAGAAAAGGTCTGGAAGGGTCTGGCCCTGGTAGGTTCGCCTTTTATGGATTCACGTGTGTTGGGTCCATGCTTGTTGACATTCACTGTTGATTCATGGATACTTCATTATACGAGTGTCGTTTCATTTATGGATACTCCCTTGTTGATGTTTGCTTGAATCATGCTCTGAGTTGATTACAGTCCACGTGCACACGCACACGCACACACGCACGCGTGCGCGCCCCTACGCACACACACACACACAAATAGACACGACACCTCCGAGGACTATTCGGCTGCAAGCCCTCATTTGCTGGTGCCCATTCTTGACGGAAGGTTCTGGTGCCCCGGATGTTCGTCGAGGGAGGCTAGGTATAAATGTGTCCTTTGAACTAGGGTGAGGTGTAAACCCAGAAAAAGAAAAAGAGGCGTCTACCAAACATTCAGCTTCGCTCTTATTGGCGGTTTGGATAGGCTCAGTTGCCCAAAGGACCTGGAAACAAAAGGTTAACCTTTTGGGGCCATGACCAAAACTGGACCAAAACGGGAAAACCAAAAGGTCAAAAGGTCGGCTTTGGGCAACTAAGTAGGTGGTTTAGGGTCCAGGTGGTTTCCCATTTACCCTTGGCTTGGGGTTCAACGCCCCAAAAAAATCCACCGAGCCAACACAACGAAGCTTCGCTTCGCGGTTCGCCTGACACAAATAAAACTAAACCAAAAAAAAAGGTCCAACCAAACAGGGATCCTTACATTCTACACCTGAACATTGCCTTGTAAATGGTGTGGTTTCCCTTTATTTTGGTCTATTTTGGTGTTGAAAAAACCATGTGGCAAAATGTATCTTTTAAGGAGCCCTGCAAAAACAAACAACCAAAATGACTGTGCTCCTTATGGTGGACCCCTTCTGGTTGGCAGTCAAAGAGCAAATGTACACCAGCCATTCTAGAAGCCCCATTCTTTTTCGTGTTTCTTACGAATGTCCCCCATTTTGTGGTTCGTTCAACAGACCCTTAAAGGGTGACCACGTTTTTTGGGGGTTCCCGGGTTTCGAGCCTCAAAAACAGCCGAGCTTCCCATATCACAGCCCCCCATTTCCCGCCCCCAGTCATTTTTGTTGTTTGTTATTGCAGGGCTCCTTAAAAGCATTTGAAACATGGCTTTTTCCACCAAAATAGAGGGAAACCACCACTCCAAAAAAAAGCCGCACCCGGCCTCGACTTGGTGCGGAACGAAGTCACCAGCAGAACCGCGGCGCCGGCGCCGGCGCAGGCGAACCCGGCACGGTCCTGGCGACAATGGCGGGTGGCTCATCCAGCGGTTGCAGCTTTTCAGAAAAAACCAAAGCTAGGTCCTCCAGTAGAGAGGTTAGAACAAGGGTGCCAACTTGTTTGTGTAGTCTATTTTAGCAGGGGAACCGAATCTACTGAAAACCTAGAAAGAAAAACACCTTCTTGGAGGGTGCCCTAACATATGCGTCGCTCGTCTCTTCTTTTGAGGCGCAAAGGAAGAACACAATTTTGGGGTCCGAGGATCTTTCCCCTTGAAACATCACCCCTGCCAAGATAAGCTCGATATAAACTGGCCAAAACAGGTGATGTTTAAAATCACCAGGGGTCCCTTCGAGATGCCTCGGATCGTGTGAGATTGGTCTGCGGCCATGTCACCTATGCGCGTCGAAAACCATAAAAACAAAAGGGCCCCCCTGCTTCAGCGAGAGCCAAACACATTTTTAGGCGAGCTGATCGCCAGAGATTTTCCCGGGCCTAAGGAGAACGGGGCAGTGGGGTGACCTAAAACCAGATTTAGCCTATGATTGTAGGAGAATACGATTTGAAACTCGAACATTCAGAACCTCATGATCACGTAAGACTATGAACTTTGAACCAGGTTGCAGCCCATTTTTATTGATCCCTTCTAAGAGCGAATGTCGAAAAAGTAGCACCTCGGCATCTTCTTGCTCTGAATTAATCTATTTTCAACAGCAAGACTCTGTTGCTTCAGCGGCAGCCAGTTGTTCAGTGACGCTGGTATCAAATCCCAGGGTTTCATGGGATGTACTGCCACTACATAGCCACCACATAAAGGGTATGTACCTCGTTCTCCCCTTTGGGGCAGTGAACGGTAGAAACAGAATTGGAACCCTCTAGGAAAAGTGACGCTTCGTGTGATTCTCCCCTGAACGACTTCATAACGGTGAACCCCTGTTGGCTCCTTGCGTTGCTGCGAAATAGCCAGAAGGAAATAGATCCATCTGTCTCCATCGGTATCTTCTTGGGGGAGCAAATCCACCCCCCCGCCCCGTTTCGGAGGTCGCCCTGCTGAGAGACCAACCCTCTAGGGGTAACTTCCCCATTCTTTCCAGGGATCCTTCTTGCTAGAAAACCACCCAAAACCCTGGGAAAATCGCGATCGGCTTTTGAAAAGAACGACGGCTGAAAAGAATGGACAAGGGATCAACCCCTAAGTAATAGAAACCAGCCAAATATGGGGCTGTGGCTTTGGGAAACCAACAGGAAAACCACCATTTTCGGGCCTTCACACCCCTTCCCAACATTCACACTCCTAGAAACCCTAGATCCATCTGTTTCAATCGAGGGTATCTTTTTGGGGGATCAAATCCACACCCCCCAAAATGGGAGGTCCCCCTGTTGCGAGACCAACCCAAGCATGAAACCCTTCCCGAAAAAAATCGGCCGTCCTCAACACCCGCATGGCCGGAAGTGCGCGGAGCCTTCCGGACGAGTGCTCGGTCTCCCAGAGAACCCAATTTGTCCGGAGCTCGGCAAGTGGATGGCAAGGGTCAACTTTGGAAGAAGAACCAAATATGTCCACTAGTGATAAGTTCCTTTTAAAACCAGCAAGGGAAATAAACAAGATTCTTAAGCAAATGGAGGCAGGGGTCAACTTTGTGTGTTGTTTGGGAGAAGCGTTGCTTTCTTCCAAGAAAAAAAACTTCTATTTGCACGGGGGAACATTTCTCCAACAAGGTGGCCTAAAAGCGACTGCTCTGTTTTAGAGGACCAAATGGACAAGACATGCTCACAGCGGGCTGAGCAAAATGTGGCATCCGCCAAAGCCTGGCTACAAAGCCTCTGCCGGGCCAATGAAAAGTAAGCAACTGGCTTTGCTCCCCACAGTCAACATGGAACCAACGATCCTGTGGGTTTTGGGAATTCCTCCCGTTTGAACTGTAGGGGAGCAAATGGCAGTGTTTTTTTAGGGTACCCTTTGTTGTGGTTTTAAAGGGTACCATTTTGGGGGCCACCTAACAAACGACACACCCATGTGGCTTGTGACCCATACGCTGTGACTCATCCAGGGTCTTTTGGTGGGTTAAATGGAAACGCAAACTTTCAGCGACGAAAAACCTTAACAGCCTAAGTCTCTAAGGAACCGGATGCCTGGGCTTGCCGCCGAAAAAGATCCTTAGCCCAAAACTCCGCGACTTCCATTTGCTGAAGCCCGGCTGGAAAAAATAGCCAATATTTCTAGCAGTGATCGATTCCTTTTAAAACCAACAGGGGAAAACAAACCATTTTCTTAAACAAATGGAAGACGACTTTGGTCCCAACTGAAACCAGTCCCCCCCCCTCAAATCGCGCCTCTCGGGCGCTCAAGGTTGGTCCGGGCCGCGCGGCCACGAAGGACAAAGCCATGAGGCGAAGGCTTTGAGGGAGCTGCCACCAAGATCAACACCCCCCTCCAAGGGAAGAAATCAGAAGAAGGTATTTTCGTCCGGACGGCGCGAGCTTGCTTTTTGGCGAGATGAGCAAGCGTCGCGTCTTCTTGCAGGCTCCATATTTTTTTTAGAACTTGACGGGGATCGAAAGCTTCAGCTGCCTGACGGCCTCGCTTTTCGCTCGCATGGAACAAACTTTGGGTCTGCATCGGATGTGGAGAGCTCTCTCGCTGCTTCTTCCTTTTTGGGGCAGCCACACACTTCCAAGGCGCTCTGACAGCGCTTGAAGGAGCTGTCCTGCCTGCGGCATCGGCGATGTGCAACTCAAACCCAGCCAATTATCAGACCTCAAGCACGTGACTTGGACATTGGATGCAAGAGACTCAGAGAGTGGATGCAGGCCTGACATGAAATTGATTCCTAAAAAAAAGGTCTTCCAGCTGCTTTGTGGATGGCGTAAAGCTCTGGCCAGTTTGCGTTTTTCTCTGCCTCAGCCAGGGTTCTCCACGAAAACAGTCACAGGAGTTGCAACCTCCATCTATTGGCAGCTCTATGGGCACTTTGACGGCAAACAAACCCACCAAAAGCATGAGAGAATATCTCAAAGAAAAAAATGCAAGATGGTCCTCAGGTGTCGGGCATATTGAGACACCCCCCATCATGCGCCCCCAGCCACCAAGCCGCTTCTTTTTTCGCCGAACCCCGGGGCTGCCTTTTGGCAGGGACAAGCGGCGTGTTGCCACTCACCGCGGACTCTCGCGAAGAAACACCGGCAGTCAGCATGCGCAGCTCATCCACCAGAGCTGGCTGGGTTCTAGGCCGATACGGCCCCCGCAAAACCGGCCACTGTGAGTGATATTGCTAGGTCCTCCAGTAGAGGTGAGAATAAGAGGACCAACATCTTGGTGTAGCGTATTTTAGTAGGGGAACCCTCCCCAAAAAAAAGGATAAAAGGGCACTACTGGGGGACCTAGAATGTGCTCATCTGCTCATTTGCTCATCTCTCTTTTCCGGAATCGGAGGTTTCCTCTTATCCACGGAAACATACCCCTTTGTGATTTTTCCAGAGAGGGGTATGTGCCATCCCTAACATGGAGTGGTGTCCCTCAAAATCCTGACGATTCCGCCGCAGCTCCGGGTTTGCGATCCGAGCCGACGAAGGAGGTCCGCCGCTCTAGGCGAAGAAGGAGGGAGGCACCCAGCCTGCGATCTGGACACGCCGGGATGTTTGCTTGGTGCAATAGGCAGGGAATGAGAAACGGAATGACCCGAAAGAAACCATCCCCTTGCAGTGTACTTTAAGGGCACCCGGTTCATTCCCTCACTGAGCACCAGCAAGTTTGATCAGAGGCTGTGTGTGTGTGTGTGTGTTTGGGGCAGCCAACTTGTTTGTGCTTTTTTCAGGACGATCAAGAGGTACTTTACGTGGGATGACCGTTGGGGCAAACCACCAAAAAGACGACATGTCCCACTGGGAAAAGTTGCCGAGGGTCATTTGGGGGCCGAATCTTGATCAACCCCCACACACCCATGGAAACCGAAACCGGCATGGGTCTGTCTCAAAATGTTCAGCCCCGAATTTGGACGGCGGTTTTAAAGGAAGCGCGTTTGGAAGCTTTTCAAGGAAACCAATGGCAAGCCCAACCAGTTTTTGGTCCCTGATTTCGAGACGCGCCCATATCCTTGGAACTTGGGGTGGTATGTTCGTTGGAAACAAGGGCAGGGAGAGGTTCACGGAGGCGAATCCCAGATGACTTTAGCACTCAGTGTACCTGCCAAGTGCTAGTTTGTTCAGCGAAACGACACCCTGTGTCTGAAGTTGGTACCCTTTTTCCTGTCGTCTATTTTAGTAGGGGAAGCCTCCCCAGCCTCTCCCAAAAAAGAGCAAAAGGGGGGGGGGCACTACTGCGGGTTGACCCCCTTGCAAAAAGTTTTTAACTTTTTGGGGGGTTAGTGGAAAACCCAACTTGATTTTCCAAAAAGTTAAACTCGGTTGCTTTCTGCTCCCCTGCCAAAAGTGAATAACTTTCAGTGGTTTAGTCCGGAAAACCAATCCATTAGTTGGCAAAAAGTTCTCAAGTCCTAACAGCCCTTGGCAAAATGCACCTCTGCAACTGTATCCAACTTCCGGAGGGATCCCTCCGGCGTCCTGCTCCCGCCTTTGCGGCCCACCTTCCCCTTGTCTTGGACCCTCAAAGTTAAAGGTCTAGAGATCCGTTGCCCAGCAGTCAAGGTCACCCCCGGCCGAAGCAACACTCTCGCTGGGCGCCCCCGGCTGCTGAAGCGGCCACGCTCCGCGCCTGCGCCTTCCAACCGCACCGTTCGTGCGGAAAAACGAAAAGAGAAAAGATCCTAGCTAGGTCCTCCAGTCGAGAGGTTAGAGTCAGGGTACCCCAATTTTTCCTTTTGTTTTGTCTGTCGTCTATTTTAGTAGGAAACCCTCCCAACCTAAAAAGGGGTGAGAAAGTGCATTACTGATAAACCTAGTCCCGGTGATTGATGCCGTTTAAAAAACCAAACGGATGGCTGCGGTGAGAGCCAACGACCAGTGCAAAAGATGATAAGGAGAAAAGATTCCTGTAGCGTTAGATGCCGCCGCGCCCACTTCAGGCAAAGTCTATGGATGTTAATTAGGCCATGTTTGGAGCTGCAAAACCACAGAAGCATTAGATGCCGATTGAAACAAAAGGAGAAAAACAATTCAATGGCATTTAAAAAAAAAAAAAAACAACTTCTTACGCAAAACTAGGTCCTCCAGTTAGAATAAGGGTACCCTTTTTTCTCTGTAGTCTATTTCAGCAGGGGCTTGCCCTCCCCGCAACAAAGAAATTGGGTGAGAAAGGCAACTACTGGACCTATAGAAGTGGAAGCCAAGGGCGACCCTCTTTTTCCCTGGCTTCATTGGGCAGCCTTCATTGGGCAGCCTTCATTGGGCAACCAAACGTCAGTGCCCGATGGGACCAGTAAACAAGGGGACCCAAAAACAAGCTACCCATAGGAAAGCCAGCAGATTGTTCAAGTGTGTGTGTGTGTGTGTTTGTCAAAATAGGGATTTAATCAGTTGGCTTCCCAGGAAAACCACTCCATGTTCGGGGTAGCCTAAAAAACACGGATGTCCGGAAAATTGAGTTAATTTCCAGAAACTGCTGGTGGGTTGCTTCTATGAGGGTCGCTTCAAACCAAAGAGGATCCCGCGAAAAGTGATTACATGTTGGTGAAGAGCTGCAGAATGGGCGGCTTTTTGAGCTGGTACCGCCTCTCTTGTTGGTTTTGAAGGGAAACAGAGGAAGAAAACCCAATTTACCGTATTTTTACGGAACTCCCGGTAGCTCCTGAACTGCTCCCTCTTTAAAAGCAAATTCGGAGAACCCCCAGCTCCCGAGTCGAGTCACGGCTCCCTTCCAAGCACTGGCGAGGTGAGGGAAAACAGCCCGGAAAGTAGCTCTGAGAACTCCACTTCCCGCAAAGAACTCCCCAGGGTCTTCATACGTTGCTAGGTCCACCAGATTTGAGAGGTTAGAATAAGGGTACCCGACTTTTTTCTGTCGTCTATTTTAGTAGGGGAACCCTCCCAACCAAACACAGGGCAAAAGAGCGGGCACCGTTCGCTGGACCCAGTAAGCTTGCTTGAACGACCACCGGCGAGCAAAAGGGTAAGGGCTCAAGCTCGCGGCACACGGCGTCTGGTGCCCAAAGCCTCCGTCGCCCTCCGGAGCCGACGGTTTCACCTGCGCGCATCGCTCACTTTGCCCGTCCGGCAGACCCAGTGGCCAGGGGGCAAGAAGGGCTCTCCTTCGCTGCCATATAGGATCCCTGCCGATCACTATTATGTTCATGTTCATCAGGGTCAACCTCACTTGTATTATCCTCCTTTGTTCATGCTCAACATCTTTTTGGGTTTACATATGTTATAGTATATGTCTATGACTACCTTAACTCACCTGCTCCTGAAAAACCTAAAAAAGAAAGAACCCCAAAGGCCACCACCGAGCCAAAGGGGACCCGGAGGTCCGGTTCACCCCCCAATGGCCATGGCCTGTTCAAAATCCAAATTTCGGTTCATCCCCCAGTGAACATCAACCAATCCAACCACTGAAATAGGTTCTAAAATGGGTGGTGCACCAGGCCCCCAAAATGGGATCCCATAATAGTTTTGACCCAGAGCCAAACGGGACCCAATCCAACCACTAAAAAAGGTTCTAAAATGCGTGGTGAATTCACCTCCCAACCAAAATCCCGTGGTTTTGACAACCACAGCCACATGTGTGTTCTCTGAAAACAGAGAGAATTGTCCACGGGACTCTCCCAGCCGGCAGATGGACCAGGATGGCGTCATCATGGTGAGTTCTCCCACGTGTTTTTCCGCGCCAGGTGCGCCCGAACTTTTGTAAGATGGCTCTGTTGCCCAAAGGCGTCCTTTTAGGTTGGAAGTAGATGGGTTTCCCTGGTCGATGAGAAAAAGCCACCAGGTAAACCAGGATTCGCTATCTATTTCTCTACCAAAACAACCAAAAAGGACACCTACGTCAGTTGCCCCAAGGGGGAACAGAAATACAAAGTGATCGATCAGCTTTCGAGGCTGGACAACATGCCGAGAGTAGCAAAGCCATGTGGCTCATGCTGTGTGTGCGTGTGGTGGATATGCGAGCTGGGCCCTTCAAACGGCTTTTGCTTCGGACCCGGGCAACGCGCCAACGAAGGAAACAGCCGACTTTGGCGATACGAAAGCCTCCTGGCCAGTACTAAACGCGTGCTGAAATTGAAAGCGGAGTCATGGAGGGCAGACATGTTTGAGAATTCAAGGGACCAAGAGTGGTTGGGGCCACTCCTAGTTTGGGAATTTCGACCACCCTCATGCCAGTCACATCCTCTCTGTGGTGCCCCGCCTGCTCCGTGCCCAAGTTTGCCCGCAGCTTGTCCAGCATTCCGCTCCATGCCTCGCCCACCGTGTCGGCAGTGCCAGCAGTGCCGGCTGCGCCGGCTGCGTCGGCGGGGCTGGCCGAGCTGCTGGCAAACAGCGAGGCACCGGGCATCGACGACAACATTCCGGCGCT